AATATTTGGGTATTGCACGTAGAGGGTGTTTGGATATAAAAGCTGGAAGATATATCTTTGCACATTATATTTGCACTATACCAGAAGGAATAGACTGTTTGTGTAGTTGAAGGATTGAACATAACACCTGTTATACGGGCTGTTTAACGAGACATTTATACGAGTGCACTTCAAGATATACATCAGCACTGTGTTATTGTTGTTTATTTTGGCAACATTTATACATATGGTTTATGATTCATGTGTCGATACACTTAGCAGGATAACAACATTTTTTTGGGATGTCACTGTACAAACGTTGTGCCTAACACACGGTATTTGATTATTGTTTGGAATAAAAAAAAAAATTTTATTTCACTAGTTTGTATTCTCAGCACAGTGCTGTTTTCTATTTATATCATTTGGGTGTAGCCACCCAAGGTGTAGCACAGCCGCTTTAGAGTGAGTTCTGATTCCGCAACGCAGATTGAATACTTTCTGCATCTCTATAATTTAGCTGAAAAATAATGTTATAATGTTCTTTGCAAATTATTGTTAGAAAGTTACCAAACTGCTTCCTGAAATGAACAAGGCTAAAAGTCAATGATTAAGGCCCTGTTCACATTGAGCGAATTGTCGCGCGATTTCCGCCGCGATATCGCGCATTTTTGCCGCGCGATATCGCGAGAAGTCGCCGGCCAATGTTATTCAATGGAGCTGTCTTAACTCCATGTCGCGCGTCGCGGTCGCAAGTCGCTTCTACCGGACCCTTTTTTCGGCGGATTTTGCGCGATTTTACTTTTTTTCTATGGAGCCCGACGGGGAAGGTCGCGCTACCGTCGCTGGATCGTCGCTGGAACGTCGCCCCGAAAGTCGCGCTATCCCGGCCGTGCGGATCCGCTGCAAAAGGTATGTCGCTATATGTGAACGGGGCCTAAGATATAGTATTGAGCTCAGGAATTTGAATTTTCCCGGTCTTACAATAGGGTGGTGTGGCCCTTTAATCTAATTTTCATCCTAATATGGAGTGTAGATTGCTGTCCTGATTTACTATAAGCTACAAAAACAAAAAAAGAAACCACCGCTTACAGTCATCACCACAGACTAACAAGCAGAGAATTTCAAGCAGCCACAGGATTGCTGCACAGTAAATCCTTTATTGGAAACAGCACGTACAGAGCCAAGAGTGGGTATAGCACCCCCACTGATTGTGTGTAACCACACTTCATCAAGGGCAAGACCAGATAACAGATCCTATACTCCAATCCCATATGTATCACAGTTCTCTAAGTGGTGTACTGACAGCTAGCTTGACAGTGGTTACTGAAATATGTACAGAAAAGTCTGAGTCATGTCATTTACTGAAAGTGAGTTTAAAAGAAACACAGGACAAAAAAAAAAAAACTTTGTCAAAATGGTATTTTATTTTCTTTGAGACCAAATTACAGTAGCATTTAATAAATACCTGGGCACTCTTAACACATCATGCTGTATACACACACCAGTTATGAGGGACGCCAAATTACTTTAGTACAAGGCAAGTATTTCAGACTGGGTAAAGCCAGGGTATTCTTTCAGAGCTCAGTCCCAGGCGGCCTACACGTGACTGACAGCTCGAGGCAGCTTTGGAGGAACGGTTCTGTTTTCAATTCATCAGGTTGTAAGCAGACTGTAAAGTCTGCTTTTATGGGGAAAGATACTGCATGGTTCTGACAACCAAACAAGCAACTCAGATCTTATGCTACTGGACACAAACATCTGACACCTGCTACCATGTGACGGATATTCATAAGTATGACTAGAAGATGCGGTTAGATGGCAATCTAATTTTACTGTGAATGAGTCCAATTCTTGGCTGTGGGTGTTGCGCACATGTGACTTGGTCTATTGAAATTTTGCGCAAATATGAAAGTCTGCACTGTGGTCACCTGCATAGCCAGATTTAGAGGCAATGTAAATCTAACTCTTCAACCTTTTATCCAAAAACATCCATTGAAGAACGAAGCGCCTAACAAAGTTATATTAAGTTATCGGCTGTGGTCTTCTATTGACAATTACAGTTAATGACCGCATTCGCTAAAAAAGCAGCCAGGGAAAAACGGAGAAGATGTTTAATGCGAATTGGTTATTTAAAAAGCATCTTTAATGCAGGAAAAAAAAAATTAGATAGGCATTGTAAGGTGACAGATATTTATCTTACTCTACACTCAACAAACCATAAAGTCACTCACACTGCGTTGTAAATAACAGTCAATCTCCTTTATTGACGGATTATCGTGAGGTCACATAAACAAAGCGACGTTTCCAGACCAGGCGGTCCCTTCTTCAGGCAAACAAAAAGCGCTTTTTGTTTGCCTGAAGGGACTGCCTGGTCTCGAAACATCACTTTGTTTATGTGACATCACAACAGTCAGTCAATAAAGGAGATTGACTGTTATGGACTTTATGGTTTCTTGCGTTTGATGTGCGGAGGCATCTGCAGTCACCTTCAGCACCCCCGATTTTTGTTTGGGCTTTATCCGGTCAGGAGTGCGATGGGATCTACTACATTCTGAATTACTCTACACTCAGTCACCATTAGAGCCCCTTAAATATCCTGACTTCTGGGGTATGGGGAGAGTCGACACACCACTCCCCTCATTCATTTCCCATGATACAGTGCTCAGTCCCAAAGCAACCTATCGCCAGGCCTGAGTGATACTGAAGGCAAGCCTGAGCCAATGCAAATACTGACTTTCAGAAAGTCTGTACTTCCATAGGAACCTTAGGCAAGGCTGTCAAGAGAAAATTATGTTTTGGTACCTTATGCTGCCTACTAACTTCATGGGGAGTGGTCACATAATATTTATTTTGCAGTAGAGATGTATGTTAAGGCAGTAGTGACAGTCATAGTTTGGGTAGAACTACATTGTTGTAAGAATTGCCATTCAACAGTACAGTTTAGGCAAGATTTAAGCCTTTAAAAAGGGAAAGATGCAAAAGAGGCTGAGTAAGTTGGTCTGATGCTGTTCAATGCAAAAATACATCTAGCCAGAACTATCCTATCCTAAAAAAAAAAAAGTTATAAAACAAAAATACTGCAGTGTACTCACAAGAGTTAACTCTTCAACTTTGCTGCTTTGTTCCCTTACATGTTTGAAAAAAGAACTTTATTTTAAGATTTCTGAAAAGTCAAATTAAACATTTCCTTTTCTATGGCATCTAACAGTGCGCAGCTGCAAACCATGCCAGAATGATACATCAAGTGTAAAAACCTCTATACTGTAAAGTTTCAGAAATAAAATAATTACCAATTATATCTAAGTCATAGTTTACATTTTGAAAAAAATAAATATTTAATGGTTTGCCGAACACAAACATGAAATTTGTGTATATTACAAGAACACAAGAAACATCCTGTGGTCAGCCGCAATTCGTGGAACAGTATAATAGTCTCCTCTAAGGTGTGGGGGGGTCGGGGGGGGGGGGCGACTGTTACTCAGTAATATTTCCGAAAATCTAAAACAGTGTTTGCATGTGTTGTCTTTCTGACAGAAAATTGAGCTGTGCTAAATAGTAGAAAACATGTTTCTGGGAATTACCCACAAGCATCACTGCTCCTTAGAGGGCGTGATCGACATATAACAGATGTGTTCATGAGACTGTATTATACTATCCCATCTTTAGGTCATTAGGTGCAAAGACCCTATATATGAGAAGTCTAGTAGTTCAGTTGTGACAAGCAGTAATGTTAGAGACTGATCGTATTTATTCAAGTGTCTACATTGGTCAATTTGATTTTTCTTCTCACTTCGCCACTGCAAACCTGAGACAGAAGAAGAACCTAACCTATAGCTCATCAATCAGACACTTTGATAAATGGCCATTTATAGTGCCATTACTATGAATACTTAAAGTGCATTTCCACATTTACAGTCAAATTGGAATAAAAACATATTTATATTTGTTACATGTTCTCAATAACATAGCATAACCTAAACAAAATATTTAAAAATGGCTGCTTCCATCTTTAAGTGTTTTTACTTGCTTAAAAAATCCTACCTAGCTTCCCCTATATGTAATGTTGAGGATGGGGGCGTGGAGTTAATGTTTACTATAATTAACCCTGTCTGTTGTCATTATGAATTGTAAACTAGATTTCAACACTGTCAGTCCTAACAAAAGATTCAAGATCCTGAAACCTGGATTCTGCATCTTATGCCAACGAGGGGAAACTAACTCTGTCCTTGCCTTCTGAAATTGTTCAGAACAGCTTGCAGTCCCATGTAGAAGCAACTAGAAAGGTAAGAAATACATAGTTTAAAAAAATATATTTTTAGGTGTGCTGTGTGAATAGGAACATATAACAAACATATAGTGGGAGGTTCTCAAATTTGACTTTGGAAGTAGAAATACATTTCAAGAGACTTGTTGTGGTAATCTGTAAAACAAGGAGTTTCTGCAGGAAACAAGAGATTTGCACTGGCAAAAGAAATCTTCCAGCAGTGGAAGTGCTTGAGGACACTGAAATAAAGTGCTTAAGTAAAGACGGCTAAAGTTACAAATATGATTCTTTCACTAAGCCGGTGTTCATAATAAAAAGGGAGATTGAAAGTGTGTTCGACTGACAAAGCATGTGACAAAATAACAAAATTCATGTAGCAATACATCCCTGTCTATATTGCATAATAGGAAAACCTCATCATATATATGGCCAACATAAAACTGCTGTGTACAGGTCACTAAGGGGCTTATACATGAATGAGAGCTGGAAGCTGATTGGTCACATTTTCTTATGATCACATTCTTGTTGCTGATAGCAACCAATCAGCATCGAACCATCATTCTGCAATGCAGAGGTGAAAATACAAAGATGGATTTGAATGGTTCCTATGGGCTACAAGAAATGTTCTTGTCAGCATGCTTCTCATGTATCAACTCCAAAGATATTTACAGCGACACCCACTTCTTGAGTAATTTCACCACAATGACATTCACGGCAGGATGTTGTGCCTTCTTTTTAAAGGCTTTTAGAAATTACAACATTACAATTTAGTGCACAATTCAAGAATTCTCAATCGCTAAGCTGTTCGCTAATAAGTGCTTTCTACAAAAATGAGGACACCACTTTGTTGTAATCACTTCAAACTTCTCCCCCGATGAACTTAGTTTTTTTAGATATAAATCAGTGTAGAGAAGGTTAGTTCTGTGCTCAAACAATTTCATTATATATTACCATCACACACTTAGCACAAGGCTTTCTGGTACAAAAGGCCAATGACCACATTGTGCTGAACGGGTTTAGGCTGCTATTTCATTTCATATATCTTAAGCCACCTACGAGAACACATACAAAGATTACACATGCAGTCTGCAATACTTCCATGTCAAGGAAAATAAATGGAAATAGTGCGAAGGATTTATATACAGATGCTAAAATGACATATCATGCCCCAAATTATCGGATCAAGTAAAAAGAAGCTGACGACTGTGATCAATGTACAGCACAAACACAGGACAGCAGCAACAGGTAGACATCCCTTTACTGGAGAGTGTTACAAAGTCTCATCAGTTCCTCGTGTAGCCATCAGGGAATCAGAGCCCCATATCAAGACTCTTCTTCCTTCCTTACATAGGCGATAGATTCATGTCTTCACTGGCTGTAGAATTCATATACCCGTTTGCTTTCTCCCATCTTAATGAATTGCCTACAAGGGAAAAACGTTTTGCAGAATGCAGTTAAAACGGAAGATTAACATCCTATTTTACATTTTTAAAACACAAATATGTTTATTTTATGGCAATAAATAATAAAGTTGAACTCCAAGAAAAGATCTAAATACACAAAGATTTGTCATTGTTTTAAGCCGGTTTTTACAATTCAAGCACGTGTCAGACAGTACAGCCAGGTTGTGGGCCTCCCTGCAGATACACAATACAAAGGAAGCCTGTGATTGGACAATAAACACAGTAATTAGGTCATCCTTGAGCATCCCTGTAAGCATGCTGGCACCATGCAAAGAAAATACAGCTCTGAATGGTTGTGAAGGGGGATACAAAACAAACCTGTCAAGGAAGATTCATCTACTTTATGCTGTACATAAAATTAGATTTTTACTTTTTAAAATGCACAAAAACACTTTTTCTTTTTGTTAAATTAAAGAAAGGTTTAAACCCCCATCAGGTTATTATTTGCTGCTGTGCTCTGCTGGGGAGATTTTTCACTTTCTGTCCTGGAGATGCGAAAGGAGAGGAAATCTCTCCAAAGTGAATGGAATTCCCATCTTCAGGGGTTGTCACAGGAACAGGTGTTCCTATTGGAGAATCTCCTCTCACCTCTTGTTCTATGGACAACTCTAACATTTACAAATCTGTATGTGAAATACTAAATCACCAAAATAAGCACATTAAGCCCGGTATGCAAGTCCAGTCAAAATTGTCAGGTAGAATTCATAACTCCAATGGGTTCTTACTGAAATGTATTCAATTTACCTTTAAAAGGCTGATCTGTGAAAATTGAGCTAACAAGAAAATGTCTTGTTGCCCATAGCAACCAATAAGAATCCCTATTTCATTTTTAACACTACACCACAGCAAGGCCAGTTGGAAACAAATTGGTTTCTTTGGGCAACAAGTTCTAGTTCGCACACTTGTCACACATCAGGGACCGTAGGCCCCATTTACACTTGTGCATTTGAACCACAGTTAAATGCCCGTAAAACTGCTTGCAAAATGTACAGATGGAGCATTTGTGCTCTTCTGGCCCACATCCTCCATTAACATTTTGGAAATAAATCATACTTACCTGAAGCCCTGACTCAAAGAGCTTTACTGTGCATCCTGCCTAGTGCTACTTAGCCTTGCCGCTGAAATTCTGCACTCCGCTTATAGGCTAAGAGTGGGCCAAGTCAATGGATTCTGTGGTACGGATAGAGCGATACAAAATTGGAAGGATGTCAGGACAGAGGCTGTGCCACACTGGACAGACCAAAGCAGTGGCGTTCAAAGAGGAGCAAGGTTACGGGAAAGTATGACCACTAAGAGCACACCTCATGGTAAACTACATCTGAGCAATTACCAAGAGTAGACCTCCTTGAAGATGGATATGGACAGGTTCCTGGACTGTGTAAAATATCCTGCCAGCAGCTGCCCCTGCAAGAATTTTGTAAAGCCTAGTGATGATGTAATTAGTAAATAAATGCTGTTTCTCACTACAGAAACATGGTAAAAGAAAAACATAATGCTGGGACATACCCTGGAGGGGGAGCGGGAAGTTTTGGGTAAATTGTGGCCATGCCTATACAAATTCTTCGAACCATTACACCAAATGCAGTTTAATTTAGCAGTGAACACCTCCCCCTTAGCAACATTACTAATTGCTGAAATTAGAAATATACACTGAGCTGTAATGAACCTACAAGCATGTTTTTTGCTTACACTGCAAAAGAGGCTACTTTGCTGATATTTATCCCAATTGTGGCTCCAATTTATATGTATTTTTATACAGACATCTATGCAGATATAAGACCTAAATTATCCCACATTGACTATGATTCTCAGTGCTGTGACCACATCAAATCAAATATGTACCCTGAGGCATCTATAATAGTATCCTAAGTGCCAGAGTTTAACCTGCACCTCCAATGGTTTTCGAATACTGTAGATGCCATCTGATTAGCTCTCCTATGATAATCAACATGGATGACAAAGACAGTTTTAAGTACAAAGAAAAAAACCAAAGAGGGCATAATAAATGCAAAATCACTGAACAGATTTAAACTGGAAAATAACATACTTAGGCTACTTCTCTTGATGAAGGGCTTCAATAAAGGCTTCAAGTTTTTCCTGGATTTCCCGTACTTTTTCTAAAAAGAGAAAAAAGTTTATAAAATTAATTGTCCAATTCTGTACATATGACTGACTGTCCGACAGAACAATTGTTTAGACTGCAATATTCACTGCTATGGAAAGGTTAAACACACCACTCACTCTCCCTGGGGGTGAGAAGAAAACAATTAGGCTGGTCAGAGGACAAAGACTTTTAGGGAATTTGAGCTGTCAAATTAACGACAACAAGGATAATGTAAGATATTAGTCCATTTTATTAAAGAAAAAAGTCTTTTTGAAGTGGATTTGTCTTCACATTTTAGGTCCTTGGGGCTTAGACAAGTGTAAAAAAGTAGGGTTAGGTTTCCCTAAAATCACGTGCCTATGCTGCACAGCACCTGTTCCTCGACACTACAAAAGATGACAACCAGCAATTACTAATCCTTGCTCTCTCTTTTAACATAATATCCTTATCCACCACATCAGAGGAGGAAATTCATACTACTCAATCTAAGCAGAGCTTCCATATTTCAGTTAGAATATTAACATTAAAGCCCAGCAACGTATTGATGTTGGGGGGGGGGTCAGAGTTAACATCTCAGTTTATTGCAGTCTTAACTGACTTGTTAGATGTTTACTGTATCTCATGGAACCGTAATACACACAAGTTGACCTTAATATGGGGTTGCCAGTGACCAGGTGTACCTGAATTGTTAGTCATATACAACCTGCCAAGTATTCATGCTGGCATTAAAGTTTCCCTCTGAAATCTAGGCTGGTAGATATTTCCACATAAATAACTGGCAAGAAAATTTAATACATTTTGCATGATCTGCCTGTTATGAAAAACACTTCTAAAACTTGCAATAGGATTGTGCCAGCTACATATTGAACCCATGGAACTCATATCCTGTATAATTCATGAGGATATGGAACAGGAAAAACTGAATTATCCAAAGATAATCTGTATGCAGGAGGCACATATATTCTTCTAAGCATAGGTTGCTCAACAGATTGTTAAATGGAAAGTCTGACTTTTGTTGCCCACAGATCTCAGGTGACAGCTAGATGTGCAGTCACAATTCGAAAGAGATCTTTTTGGTCATGTGTACATCGCTTGAGAGTTCGAGTTTATAGGAGGGAGAGCAGAAAGGAAAAGACACCAATAGTGCCAACTTATCTTGGCAGGGTATACTGCTTGTTGCACCCAGTTCTTACATCTGCCTAATCAATCACCTTAAGGGAAAGTCTGCTAGTAATTTCTAAAGGGTAACAATAGATATGGGAACTGGAAACAATTATCTTAAGTCTAAAGCTGACCAAAGACTTACAAGCCCTAAAAAACAAATGGGACATGGTGCCTCACCAATTGTAATCAGTAATTTTCCAATTTCTATACTGCCACAATAGAGCCTAACCTCCTACACGTATTACAATAAAAGAAATGCCCTAAACATGAAGATAACTAACAGGCAACGTGTACATATTGCCTGATCAGCTAGCAGCCCACATTCTGCTGAGCAGAGCATTGCAGTTTATTTGAAAAGAGAGATGAGCAGTGTTGAAAGAGGCTACTGGTGCTCCTTATCGTAGGGGGAACAAATACAGTTGCGGCAGATTCTTTCCTGTCCCATCCTCTGTTCCTTAGGGAGTGGCCATGGAGCAGGGTCGGGGTTTCTCCACAGACTTGGAATATTCACCTGATCTAGCCATAAGGGTACCTTTAGGCAATATTTTAGAAGACTCTATTAACCTTGGGTTTGTTTAAAATGACAGCCAGCAATGGCTTTTATGGTCTGTGTTTAACATATGCAACCTTGAGATTAAGTAAGCGGTTTTGTAAAGGCTTTCTAAACAAATTGCTCTTATGCAGGCCGAAGCCCATGTTTACAAGGCCTTAGCTACATACAGTACATATAGATGTACAAGTAAACACATTGTTTATGAAAATTAACAATTATGCATGACTTCTGTAAAAACTGATCAAGATGCAAAAAGAAAGTACAGTCATAAAAAAAATAAGTACACTTTATGGAATTAGCTGACTTTTTCAACATATTATACCAGGCAAACATTAGATCTGTATTCAAACGGAGCATACAGATAAAGGTGATAATTCAATAGGAACACAGGAAAAAAATTGACACAAAATACTAACAGGTGTAATGGTGGACTGTGAAAAAAGTACATTCATTGCATCAAAAAGTTGTCATTGCCCCTGCAGCATAATTCACTTCATGTAAGCATTCTGTATACCTGCCCACCAGTCTCTGACAAGACTCATTGAAACTTTTGATCATTCTGGTGGACTGTGAAAAAAGTACATTCATTGCATCAAAAAGTTGTCATTGCCCCTGCAGCATAATTCACTTCATGTAAGTCTCTGACAAGACTCATTGAAACTTTTGATCATTTCTCAATGCAAAATTCCACAAGTTATTTGTGGGTTTCTATGCATAAACTGACCATTTCAAACCCCCAATGAAATTTCAATGGACATCACATCAGGGCTTTGAGCAGAAAAGTCAACTTTGGAAAGATGGCTTCACATTACGGTCTTTGCAGCAAACATGTTTTCTGTGCACAAACTACTCTATCTTTGCTTGATCAGTCTTCAGCACAGACCTGGTCTTTGCCTATATGTTCAATAGTAAAATGTAATCTTTTTTTGGACAATAAAGGCTTTTTCTTAACACACCTCACATGCAGGCTGAATTGGTGCAATCTCTTTATGGAGTATTTAAACCCCAAATGTTCCACGAGTTACCTGAACATGCCACAATGAAAATTATGGGGTTCTTAATATCAAATGGTCAGCTCTTGGGTAAAATTTGCTGGGCAAGAGTTCTGGACAAATTGTCTCGAGTATAAGCCGAGGGGGGCACTTTTCACCCAAAAAAATGGGCTGAAAATCTCGGCTTATACTCTAGTATATACGGTAGTTTTAATTTTCTTTACAGTGGTATGATTGATTTCAAATAATTTGGTGTCTTTTTAAATTCCTTGCCAGACCCATAGTCATCCACAACATCCTTTCTGAGGGCCTTAGTGAGCTCTATTGATCTTGACATGATGACAACACAAATTGCAAAGACAGCACCAGAGTCTAAACACCTGAGTTTGAAATAAGACAGGTTCAACCTGCATACTCCCTAAGGAGGTTCTAACCATTGGTACCTAATCTGGAACACCCAACTCTAATTTCATGGATTTGAAGAAGAGGTGGTAAATGTAAGGCTGTATTTAATTTTTCCATAAGACAAATCTGCATTTTTGTTATTTTATTTAATGAAAATAAACACACCATGTCAATTTTATGTATGTTCAAGTATATCACCTTTATCCAAAGGCAATATTTGAATCCAGATTTCATTTTTGCCAGTTCAAATATGCTGAAAAAGTCAATTTCTAATGGGATGTACCGTACTTAAATCTTCACATGATTATATATTATACTGTTAAGACTTACAGCCATGTGAAAAATAAACTACACCGTCTGAATTCTATGGTTTTTAGATCCCGTGGCTGCAAAACGAGCCCAAATCATCACCTATCAACCACCATCCTTGACAGTTGGTATGAGGTGTTTGGTTTTCACCAAACGTGGCACTGTGAACTATGGCCAAACACCTTCACTTTGGTCTCATCTGTCCAAAAAAACATTGTTCCACAAGGTCTTGTGGTTTGCTATGGTGTAACTTTGCAAACCTAAGCTGTGCTCCCATTTTCTTTTTAGAGAGAAGAGGCTTTCTCCTGGCAACCCTTCCAAACAAACCATACTTGTTCAGTCTTTTTCTAATTGTCGGTCATGAACTTTAATGCTAACTGAAGCCTGTACAGTATGAGATGTACCTCTTGAGGTTTTTGCAATTTCTCTGAGCATTGCACGGTCTGACCTTGGGGTGAATTTGCTGGGACATGCACTCATGGGAAGACTGGCAACTGTCTTGAATGTTTTCCACTTGTACATAATTTTCCACACTGTAGAATCATGGACTTCAAATTGTTTGAAAATGGCCTTATAACCCTTTGCAGATTGATGGACTGCTTCTCTAAGATCAATGCTGATGTCTATCCTCCTTGGCATTGTGTGAACACACCTGAATGCTCTAGACCAGCAAAATGCAAAAAGTTCAGCTTTTATAGAGGCCTTGATCATTTAATCAAGGCAATTTCATTAGCAGTACCTAACTTTAACCTGCTAAGGACCAGATGATTTTCGATTATACTTTCTTTTTCACACAACTGTACACACTGAACACGGACACAGGATGCATGCACTGTGCCTTTACTCCAACTACACAGTGAAGACCCCTTAGTTTGTAATAGCAGAATTACTATATCTTGATGGAGAAGGTCTTTTGATTAAGGGCTACATCATCTAGGTCACGTTTGCTGCTGTCCAAAATAACATAAAAAGCACTTAGCTTACCTATTTCCTAATCAGACTGCACCTGAGCATTCACAACAGTCTTTTAAAAAGGCCGCCAAGCTTTTTGCTCAGCATTTATTGCTTTTCCTGTTTAATCTGACTAAACAAACTAGAATAAATAGAATAAAACCAGCAGTTTAGGAGATGTAAAACAAAGGACACTGACACATCAGGGCAGTGTGCAAACGTCCCGTTCATGAATAAGCTCAAGGTCTCTAAAAGAGGAAGATGGATACCACCCACATGACAGCAAACAGCAGCTGGCTGGTACAGGTAGCATTCTGTGCTTATCCTTCTGGCATGATGAATAGCTTTACCCTACTCTGGTAAATATACAGGCCCACACATTGCAAGCAGGAACTTAAAAGGTGTGCATGCTTACTTTTATCATATCATAATTTTATTACCAGCAAAGGAAGGAAAAATTTATTTTAAGGGGTTTTCCACTCTAATAAAAAGAAAGCCCCATTACCAGTAGAGTTCTCCTTGAACACCTGCTGTAGAACTGTGCGCAGAAGAGAACATGCTCTTACATATCATTATTTCCATACTAAAAGTATTATTGTGTTTTAGAAATCCTTTTTACCAAGTATTAATAATAATGAT